TAAGCGTGTCTCTTTGCCATTTTCAGGGTTGTTAAAACAACGATGTTCTGCATAACGCACATACCTGTTCTTTTATACAGGTATGTGCGATAAAGTCAATGCACACACTTCACCCTTTAGCGTTCTCATGGTGTTCTCTACTACGTCCTCATTACAACACACAGGGCGCACTGCGCTATAGGGCGCGCCGTACTTTTTGAAGAAAATCTAAGACTTTTAAGTGCGCCTTATGGTCGTGAAAATATGGTAATCTGGAAACCCTTGGGTTTTAAAGGAGGGTTTCTGTAAGCGCTCTAAGGAGAATTAGTTCCTTTTATTTCTATTATGTTGTTCGTGTTGTGATTTTTGGACCCCTTCTATTGGAACATTGACAATTCAGGCCAATACTTACTCAACTATATCGGGTCATATTTAAGCATTTTGTTATGATGTAAAATTTGTGTAAATTCTAGTTATAATCTGGATTATTTTATGTTGTAATGTAATATATTATGCTCGATAAATTTGTCCTGTTTTGTTGTGTTGTTTTAAAGTGTTGGTAGGTGTCGTAAAGGCGGTGTGTAGTGGGCCACCATGTGGTGATGATAGGTGAGGCTATTACGCAGGGCATGGAGGAACAGTTTTCTGATCATTGCTGTGATAGTTATTTCAGATATAATATCATAGAAATGTAAATGGAGCTCCTACTTGAGACATATGTTTTGTACTTTTCGAGTTTGTGTAGAATAAATAAATGTTTTTCCTTTTTTTTTACATTTTCCTCGTTTTTTGCTACTGAAAGGCATACAAGTACCATAGTTTTCGGGTCATAAGGTGCTACTTTTTTCCCACACTGTGAACACTGCGGCTTATGTATATGGCACACGTGTGGCTAATGCATATTTTTTTTTCATGCGGCCAAAAACATTTTGCCTGGTAACAGTAGACCAATCAAAATGATAAGTAGCATATATACGCGATATATTTTTATCGGTTGTTAAGAGACATTGTAATGTTGTTTGTGCACTGTTCCGTAAAAAAACCATAAGCAACGTAATTTGTGTGTTACCGATACGTATGTATACTTAAAGGTAGCCGTGTTACAGGCGCTGTTCAAGGAAAAAAAAGCATTTGCAGTATGTATTTTTGTATGTTACCATAACATTTATGTTACCATGTTTATGTTACCTTACGGATTAAATTAAACGTTAAAAATCCTCACGTGTAATATTTCTGTGTAAATATCTCATATTCCAAGTGAAATGCATACGGCTTAAAATCCAGTGCGGCCTGTACA